GAATACCTTGTTTTCTCCCTCCCCAACCTCTGCAACTACCATTCTTCATTTAAAAATTATTTTATTTAATTTTTATTATTATTGTTATTTTTAAATTTGCTATAGGGTACATGTGTGCTCACCAGAGAGAGGAAGAGAGAGAGAGGGAGAGAAAGTGAGAAAGCAAGTTGCCAGGTCCAAGACTCAAACTGCGGTCAACCATTTGGCAGTTCAGCAACTTAACCACCACCCTATTTGCTGGCCCCATGCAACTGCCATTGTACTTTCTACGTTTATGACTGTGACTGCTTCTTAAAAGTGAAATTGTACAGTATTTATTTTGTTGTGGATTTTTTTTCCACTTAGCCTAATGTCTTCAAGAGTCATCCCTATTGTAGCACGTGCCAGTATTCCCTTCCTTTTTTAAGGCTGAATAGTATTCCACATCTTGTTGATCTCGTCATCTGTGAATGGATATTTGGTTTATTTCCACGTTTTAGCTATTGCAAATGGTGCTGCTATTAACATGGTTGTATAATTGTCTGATCCAAGTCCCTGCTTTCACTTCTTTTTGTCTTATTTTTTTAGAACCTACAGTTTTATTTCTATTTTATCATCTTATTTCATTGTAAATGGACAAATAACAATTATATGCATTATATATTTATAAAGTACAGTGTGATGTTTAGACATGTGTTTATCCATATTTTCTAAATTAACACATACACATACCTTTGGATGCAGGGCATGGGTTTGAATTCCTATTTATCTTTGAGCAGTAAATTGTTAGGGTCAAGGGTAATTTGGGCAGTTTTCCAGATCACACTTGAGAAGATCTGACACCTGAAGGAGGCTCTGGAAAAAGGAGGGCATCTAAGAGAATGAGAGATCTTTCAGCTACTCCGCATTTGCCTGATGCAAAATTCTTGGTCTCATCTTTCAAAATGTCACCTTTGTTAGCTATTCCCTTACACCTTCCAAACTGAACAAATGAAGAAAAAAACTGGAGTAAGGAAGAAGAAATGCTACCCCATTTATCTTTCGGATGTGCATTTTGTCCTTATTTCCTGGTAACTCGAATGAACACAGCCCTGGTTGGGAGGGAAAAACTTCTAGATTTTCAGCTGATGGGCCAGCCAAGTTGGCCAGGATGAAAGATACTCAGTGTTTACCAAGCATCTGTCATGGCCCAAGGACACAAGTCCACATTACACATACTGCATTTCATCCTCAAGTGGAAGGACGTGCTGTTTTGCCCCTTTCGTAAAGAGGGAACAGGATCAGAAAGGTTAAGTAACTCCTCAAGGTCACAGTGAGATGTGGCTCTGGAACCGAGTCCACACAGCTAGGAAATCAGGACATAAATTAGATCTTAATTTGAACCACTGCACTTCCCACAGTGCCATCCTGCCTCTCCATCTTTGCATCGAAACCAGGCTCAGAAAGTTTCAGACTAGACACATTTGGGGACCAGGGTAAAAGCAATGAAGAAATGAGAGTTTAAAAGAACTGTCTATCTTAAGCTGTTTGCTTTTCATCCCTAATGATAACTTCAGCAAATATAATAAATATTCAATACACAGAGGCAATATTTGCATTAGTAATTCAGAAATATTCATGATTAAAGATCAAATAACTAGTCCCTAATGTAGTCTAGTAAGGCTCATCTTAAAAAACCAATGATGAAATGTCAGATACTTAAATACCTATGTGACTTAACAACTAGCTCAAGATCTTTTTGTATTTTAGTGACTTACGTGTGTGAATTTTATAACAGTAAATTCAAAGGCATGTTCACATGTATTTATTTCACTGGAATTTTGAGGTGTTTAACATTGGACCATAACTGGGAGGCTGGGAGTGGAGGAATGAATGAAGTGTTTGTTATGTGTGGCCTAGTTAGAGCTAGGGAGTTTATTAAGTAGGGATCTTGCCACAATCTCTTGTCTGTAAATTCTGGTATCAGAGCGCTTGTATAAGCAGTGTTTTTATACATGTGTGGCTCAGTGATAACTGTCATGCTATACGAGGGAGTTTATAGGCTGTTCAGGTCCTAGAAGTGCCTCCGAATCATCAAAGGCAGCTTAAATTATGTTGCATATGTAGCAGTTTTATAATTCCGCGCATTTTATTAAATTCAAACTCCAAAATGGATAATTCATGTACAGGTTATACATTAAACTCAATACATGATTATCAAAAAAAGCTCCTGTCTCTGATCATGCCAAATAACGGCCTTTTGAGCTCTATAAGCATTCAAAAAAGCCTTTCACGGAATTCTAAGAAAAACTGATTATTCTCCCAACCGGTGATCATTTCTAGGTTGAGATTTTTATGCCTTTCCTTTAAGCTCTGGGTTCATTGGATGAAAATCCAGTGATGTCTCTAAGAATAGGATGTTAATAGATTTTGTCGGCAGAAGGAAATCTTGCATGGTATTTTGTGGCATCAGGAAAGTAATGGAACTGCAGATTGTCTGGGTGTGTTGTACACAAATGCCCTGGGCTCACGCTAGGGAAAGACAGTCAGACTATGGATATTAGGGCAAAAGAGGAGGATGGTACAGGTGCTAAAATGACTGTAACTTACCTCCATAAGGAACGGGGTGGGAGAACAACAGACAACTGTTTTTTATGTTCATGCCGCTTGGATTTGGGGTTTTCTTTCCGCCTTTCACTCTCTGCACTGCTCTTCCTCGTACAACTGCAGACTTCAGCTGCCTCTCCTCACCTTTCCAGGCCGCTCTCGCCTGACCTGTGCCAGGTCGTTGGCAGCTGAATAGGTGGGTGACAAGAGGGGATGTGCAAGTTCAGGGGGACCCCAGACTGCTGCCCTTCAACCCCTCCTTGCTAGGCTCTGAGCCCCTCAGATGTCCTAAGCCCATGTGAACACCTACCTGCCGCCAGTGTGTCATTGGGGCCTAATGCATGGCTGAGCGAATGAATGAAGGAGAAGGAACGAATCCAGAAAGTGGTGGTTCCCTTTTTCCTTCCTTCTCCTTTGCTTCCTTTCACCAGTACCTTCTGGCTCTTGGTCAGTTGGGATAAAGAACAGGACAATTCTCTTTCTGCTGATGTGGAGCACAATGGCCCTGCCCCTCAGTATCCTCAGATGTCCCCAACTCACTCCTTTCTCACTCCACACCTTAGGTCCTGGTGAGGACGAGGATGGGAGAAGGATGTGCAAACTCCTAGATCTTCGTTCTCTTACCCAGTTCATTCCATTGTTCTGGCCCAGGGTCCCTGCCTCTTGCCCTTCCTCTGTGCCATCGTCACCCCACTCACTGAGCATAAACACCTGCATCCCTTCTCATTTTTCTGGAACGCTCCAGCCTCATGTCCCATCCCCCACTCCCCACTCCAGGACTGGCTTCCATCCACCACCAGTGCAGAGGGTGGGGAGGTGGAGACTACTTTAACGGCCTGGTGAAGCCCAGCTGTGGTGGTGCAGGGAGTAGCTCACTGCCACGCAGCTCTGGAACCACACGGCCCACTACAGACTGCCACTTGGGATTTCAAATTAATCTGAAACATGCCTGGTACACATGTGCCCAAGATTCTAAGTCGCTGGAGGGCTGGGAGAGTGGGGTCTCATCACTAACACAGTGTTAATGATGAGACCCTATCACTCCTCTCTTTTATGAAATAAACTTAAAAAAAAAATAAAAGCCTGGTTAAACAGAAGGCAGAAAACTTTTTAGAGGTCCGTCAGGGGTCAGGTTTAAAAATCTCTCATAATCAGATCTGACCATACCAACAGAATGATAACGATGTAGTTTCTAAGAAACCGAACTGGGAGCCGCCAAGCAGAAGCTGTGCTTCTCTGCCTTGGGGAAGGTATTCTCCTGTGCGCTCTTGACACACACCCGAGTCACTATCTTGTGCTCTGGCCCCTCCAGGGGCAGTGGGAAGCACACACAGGAGACTAATGCCAAGGGACCATGTGGCCACAGCTCCCTGCCGGGGTGTCTGCTTGCCACGGCTGTGATTTTCATGTAGGTACTAAAAGACAACCAGCCGGAAAGAAATGCTGGGAGCTGTCTCTGCTCATGACTAGATGTAAGAAAGAAACACTGCAGCATAGCAAAAGGCAGCGGTGCTGTCAGCCAGCCAGCCCGTCCATGCAACCGCTCATGGCTTATCAGTGGGGAAGCAGCTCTGCGTTCGGAAGGTGGGTGGCAGGTGCCATTCAGCCTGCCTAGGTCTGAGCTGGGGTTAGTTAGGACATTCGTAATCTTCTCGAAGGAAACTACCTCCTACTTTGGATCTTTTTATTAACAATGAGAGTAGAGACATAGAAAGGTCGCTTGGAAAAATGCGTGGGGCACAGAGAGAAAGCTAACATGCTGAATGACAGCATCAAGATTCAGAAAGATCTTCCCAGACTGGAATAATGAACAAAAACAAGGAGGCTAAATCGAGTAAGGGTATGGGGGAATTGTCCAATTTCTGTTTCTTTTTTTAAATTGTACACTCAGGATCAGAGATATGTAAATTAGTAATAGTTCATGCAAAACTTGGCTGACTGTAAATTCATGGAAGGGGGCAGGGTTTAAATTGGGAATAGAGAAGGAAAATGAGAAGCAAGAGGAAAGAAAAATTTGAGATCCATCAATTAGACAGGATGACTCCATTGGAGTAGACCCAGCTAATTCTACTTATTGAGTGTAATTCATTTTTGATCCAGAAGGAACTCTCTTATAGCTTCAAATTAACTCTGACAGCCCAAATGAAAGATGACTCTGGTCGTTACCTAGTAAAAGCTGCTTTTGAGTGCCTCGACTCCAGGCACACCGAAGACCATGGCCGCGGGCAGGTTACATGCTGATCCCTCACTTGATCAGCCATGACTGGGGAAAGATATTCATTTATATGCTACAAAACAGGTGACCCCTGTAAGGACCCATCTCAGGGGACTGCCCTCAAAGTCTGTGGCCATGGCAGGCATCTGTCCCACATATCCCTTTTCTAACTTAGATGGGAGGGCACATTACATTTGCAATTATCTCCGCTTTTTCATAGGTATGTGGAGCTGACCAACTACTGTGATTATAAAGACTACAGGGAAACTATATTGAGCAAACCAATGCTGTTCTTTATTAATGTGCAGACGAAAAAAGACACCTCAAGAGGTGGGTATATAATTATTTTTGGTTTGGTTCTGCCTTGCTGGGCTATGCAAAGAGGTGTGCTGATTAGGCAGAAGTGGGACAGGGAGAGTAGGACAGATGTCAGCTGGTGTCACCACTGGCAGCAAGGAACCTGGTGGATGAGGTTTCACAACACAAATCCGCAGACCCTACAACAGAAGGGGCTATAGAAGCAAGTCAAAGAAAATGCTGAGCTTCTTTTCTACTTCCTGTCTAGACAGGAAGTGATCTGAACTTCTGAGCCTTCACGGGTCACAGAAATGACTGGAGTGATGCAGATGATGTGTAATACGCTCTATCATATATCAAATGCTTACTGTGCCTGAGGCATGCTCTAAGGTAATTGATTGGACAACAGCCATAGGGCTTATCATCCAAATCAGGACATTTTTTGAGCATGAAAACCATCACTGTGGATAATTATTTTTGGACAAGGGCATATGCTGGAAATGATGAAGGTAAACTAGGATTCATGACATTCTACCTATGAAGTACTTATACAATCCCCATTTTGTGGATGAGGAAAACAAGATCAGGACAATAAATAGCAGTTGTAGAGCACTTACATTTCATGCCATGATCTTAGAATTTCATGTTGACATGTATCATTTTACAGTTTCTTCCAAGAAATCAGATTGACCAGTAACAACTATATAACTCAAATTCCAATATGAAAATGTCTTCATTTTCCCTTCCTCATCCTGCTCAGTGTTATGTGGGACAAGTCACGGACATAGTGTTCTGTAATAGAGGTAGCACTTTCTTTGGCTGTTTCTAAATTGCATTCTTACCATGAGTCCAAGGTAATAAAAAATCATCTACAAATTTCAAGTAGACTTCCTCAAACATTCATTCCCATTCAGGTTTGTGGGGCTCTCTGCTCGTTTAGAAACTCAAAGTCAGGATGCTTTCTCTGCAGGAGAGGCCAGGAACAGAATGGACAGCAACAGGCAATGCTCATTAGAACATCCTGAGTCCCATGTGTTTTTGGCTTGATGATGACCAGAAGGCCAGAGAGTTCTCTAGGAATGTAATTTACGACTGTATCAAGTATACCTCCTGCATTGATCTCTCAGGAGGACTCTAAAGAAAGAATGAAGACCTATCCATTTTAACATTTTAATAAGAGTACAGAGTGGTATAAGGAGGTATTTGTGGGCGGCCTACAGAAAGTATGCACTTGTATGACAACGCTTGTGAAGTACGGAAGTCCAGTACTGGTTAATTGTGGCAAAAGTCATAAAATACAGAGGCTCTGTGATGTAAAAGCTTAAGACTGTCAAGTTTAAATTGTGATTAAGGCAGCATGTCCAGCCCTGCTGCTATTCTAAACTGCACTCATGTGCAAATTAGAAAAGGCCACCATTTCCTCATGGTAATTACTGATGCTTCCCACAGGTTTGTCATGGCAGATACATGAGTAGACAATGACTATAAAAGTGAATGGCATACTCTAGAGTTGTATAGTGTACAACCTGGCCAGCGATCACACCTGTGAAGGGTGGCTGCCCTGAAAATTTAATAAGCCTAACCGTCTTAGTGTAAAATTTAATTCAAGGTATCAAATAACTTGCTTGCTGGATTCGTTTAGTTATCTTTTGTCTCAGAGAAGACGTAAGATAGTTTATATTTAAAATGCCCCAAACAGTTATTTGGTAGAAAGGCAAAACGTGGGTAGGAAAAATAAAACGAGTAAGGTTCATTCAAAATACATTCCTTGAGAATGTAAACACTTATTATTGGTGTAGGATAGGTTTGGTTTTGGTCAATGCTCACTTTTTAAAAATCTCACAATGGCTGGTCTATGGGCTTTAGACAGATTGTAAGAGTTTCCATGTCTCCCTGGGCAAAGCACTGGAGAAATTAGTCTCGGAGCTTGATTCTGAGGGTTGGAGAAGTGAAGAGGTTTCAGGTTACATATATATTTTTAATTGCCAGAGAGCATGTGTGCTTGCCAAAGCGAGCAACAGAGAGAAAACGTATTCTTCAATAGGCACAATCACATTGCAACCTTCTTTCCGTCAGCATTTGGGGCACACATGCACACACTCCGGCATGTTTCTTAAGCTGCCAGGCCAGGATTTGAATTGAGATCAGTGATGTGTGATCTAGTACCCTGTGCCTGGCTTCCTATGTACATGGCTTAACTACTGTGCCTTGGGGCCAGCCTTGGCTAATAATATTCCAGACTTCCTAATGAGTAAACAGCTTCCACTTGTCTTACAGAATTGGACAGAATCAGGCTTAAGGGATTAGCAAAACAAAACAAAACAAAACAAAACAAGAAAAAAAAAAAGTTTCCCAAGACAAAAAGTCTGCCAAGACAGAGACATTATTTAAACAGTGAGAGAGGCATTTTTCCCACTTGAGATTTTGTTTGGGGTAGAGCCAAGGAAGAAAATCCATCTCAAATTGTCTGGATCCTTAGAACCCTTGCCTAGCCATTCAGCAGAAAGAAGGCCAGGTCTCTGGGGAGGCTGGAGAGAAATGGGGTGGGAGGTGTGGCATGCAAGGCAGCTTTTGTCCCTAGACTTTGCCGATTTTCAGTTTTGTCAATGAGGAAGTCTTGGTAAGAGCCAAGCTGTATTTAAATATCCAGCGAGGTAAAAACTGAAAACCAGCCATCTCGATTTTTCTCTTTCCCCTTCTGGATCCATGCTTTGGAGGCACATTCTCATCTGTGATCATTATAGAGTACAACTTCTGATTTCTGGGACATGAGTGACAAACTGCCTAAGGGGAGCTGATTTTCCCACCTGCTTTTACAGTATCCCAGAGCTTCCTTTAAATTTGCAAAATGCTTGGAGACATTTCTAGAAATCTAGTTAGGCTTTGCAGTAAAGGTCTGAGAGAGCAGAAGGGAGATGATATATAAATAAGATTGCCCAAGAAGGTGGGAATCACCGCTTTAGCAAATCCCATGAAGCATGTTTATGTCACATGTACACACTGCTTTCTGAATTCTACTTGCTAATTTCTAGAAAGGACATATGCATTTCTCGTGAACACAAGGCACCCCAAGATCAGAAGACAGATAGAACAAGGCATGGACATGGTCATCTCCTCAGTGATTGGAGAAAGTTACCGGCTTCAGGTAAGCCCTAGCCTGTCTGCATCAGGCCTGCAGTGATTCAGAAGGGCCTGTGCATTTCCGGCAAGGACTGAACCTGTAGAGCCTTCGTTTAACTGTACCCAGACATATTCTCTATTTTGTCATCACTGCTACCAAGAAAGTGAGCTTAATTTCTAGCAACTTACTAGAAGTGGGTTAAAAATAAATGCAATGTTGGCTAAGCAGTTCAAATATTTTAGATGGACTGTGATGCAAATGTAAAAGTCTATTTTAAAAAGATAAAAACGGGGGCCAGCAGGTGGCATGGTTGTTAAGGTGCTGGACTCCCACATGGTCGACCACAGTTCGAGGTCCAGGCCTGGTAGCTTGATAATCACGCCAGGTGCATGTGTATGCACGCCCCAAATTCCAAGAGGAGAATGGAGGAAAGGGATTGTGGTGTGACCAATCTCCATTGGAGTTGCTTTCTTACTTTCCCTCTCTTTATCTGCCTCAGGTAACCACACATACCTTATGGCAAAATAAATAAATAAAAGTTAAAATTAAAAAATTAAAAAGTAAAGATAATAGCTTTAAAAAATTCTGTGAAAGAGAAATATGGAGTGTGATGTTTTGGGTAGCTCAACAGTTGTTAATTCTATAATGACAGCATGATAATTAAGTCCATGAAGTCAACTGATTGTTTCTCTCTCTTTCAGTTTGATTTTCAAGAGGTAGTGAAGAATTTTTTCCCTCCAGGAAATGAGGTGGTTAATGGAGAGAATTTGAGCTTTGCTTACGAATTCAAAGCGGATGCACTATTTGATTTCTTCTATTGGTTTGGGCTCAGCAATTCCACTGTAAAAGTGGATGGAAAAGTTCTAAATTTGTCAAGTACAAGTCCAGAAAAGAAGGAGACAATTAAGTTATTTCTGGAAAAAATGAGCGAACCTTTAATCCGAAGAAGCAGTTTCTCTGATCGAAAGTTCAGTGTGACTTCCAGAGGTATGTGGAAAATTCTCAAAGACATGTGGGACACGTTCAGTGAAAGGGCACAACAGTGTAACGGGAAGGGAGAGTCAATTGAAAAGGCGAGATCTACTAAGAAATGGGAAAAACCGATCTACTGAGAAATACACTATCGCATAATTCAGAGAGGAGAGAAATATGTACCACCAGAAATAAATATAGCAACTTTTCCAAGGCCACTTAAAGTTTTCTAACATAGCAGTTCTATGGGCAGCATACCCAGAAAATAATTCTAAAGACAATGATTCATTTAAATAAGCATACACGCTCACTGAAATATTATGGACAATGCTTTAAATATTTGTCAATAATTAATTGACAATTCTTAAGCATTATGACAGAAGACTGCTTTCCCTATGTGCATATTCTAGAAGTTACTATTTGGGCGAGGAGACTGCACAGTCAAGATATAGGTATCTTTAGCACTACTTGGAAGGATTCTCTAACTTTATAAGATCATGAAAGAATAACTCTTGAGACGGCTTCTGTTCTAGTCCATTCTATTGCTAATAACAGAAAATACCTGAGTCGGGGTAAGTTAAAGAATTAAGGATCATTCATCTCACAGCTCAGAGGTGTAAGGGCCAAGGCTCTCTGGTGGGGGATTTCTGGCGGCATCGCAGCACGGCAGAGGGCAGGAGCTCTGTGTCAGTGTCCGTGTGTCTCCGTCTCACTCCCTGTCCTACAGATCCACCAGGAGTCAACTGTGGGAGGCCTGCCCTAATTACCTTAATCCTCATTTTCTCCACAGGCCCTAACTTGAACTCCATAGTCAGATTAAATTTTCATTTCTTAATTCTGTCACAACCAAATCTCAACTCTTGAATTTTAGGGGGACTTTCAAATCCCTAGCTTCACTAAACTATGAATGACATGTGGTGGGTTCTTGATTGTGGTACCCAGGAGGCTAAGGCAGATGGCATTGACCACATGCTGGCTGGCTGTATCTTCCGTGGAGTCCTTTCTGTCTTTCAAGTTAGTCTGGACTGGAAAGCGGCTTCCTTGAAGCAGGGCTCTTGTTGCTATTTGCAAAAATCCATCAGTCTCTATGAACTTGCAGTATTGTCAAAATTCAGATGTAAAATACAGTCTTCCTTTTTAGATTTTTGGCATAGGGAGCATGTGCTCATTGGAGAGAGATGGGGAAGGGAATGAGAAATCACCCTCCCCCCAGCCCCAGAGGGGATAACTATGCTGCAGTCCCTTCTCTTCCATGCTCCTGTCAGAATTTTGGGCACACACACACACACACACACACACACACACACACTTTGCCCCACATGCTTCTCAAGCTGCAGAGTCCAGGATTTGAACCACAAAGTCAGCCATGTAAGATTAAGCTGCCTTAACCTCTACACGCTGATTGGTCTTTTAATTGTATTTAATGACAGTTACTTTCTTACAATGTTTATAGCAAAAATGCTTACTCCAGGGACAAGCAGTTGGCATAATGGCTATGTTGCTGGACTCCCATGTAGTCGACTGCAGTTCAAGTCCCGGACCTGGTGTCTTAAACTCACGCTGGGTGCGTGTGTGTGTGTGTGTGTGTGTGCGTGTCCAAGATCCCGAGAGGAGAATGGCGGAGAAGGGATTGCGGCGTGGCCATCCCATCCTCCCGGGGGTGGTTTCCTGCTTTCTGTTTCTCTGTCTCTCTCTTTCTGGTGAGCGCATGTGCCCTATAACAAAAACCTCTAAAAAAATGCTTATTCCTAGCTATTTCTTAGACCTGGAAGAATAATCTATCTCTCCCTCTCTCTCTCCCTCCCTCCTCCCCCCTCTCTGTATCTGTCCCCATATCTCTGTCTCTCATGCTGTGTCTCTCTTGTTTCCATCTGTTGTTATATCTCTCCATCTCTCTGTCTCTGTATCTCTCTCTGCCTGAGTCTCTCTTTCTCCTCCTCCTCTGCATCTCTGCTTTCATCTGTCTCCATCTCTGTCTCTGTTTCTCTTTCTCTGTGCCGTTCTGTCTCTCTTCATGTTGCTTCAGCTCTTTCTGTCTGTAAGTTTCTCACAAAGATGCCTTTGTGCTCTGCTCTGTGGCAGCCATGTGGGGGATTATACTCTGATCCTTTTGGGGGAAGATTAACTGGGCCTGTGTGGCAGCTTCACAGATGCCTGGTCCTCCTGTGACAGCCCCCAGCCTCCCCCACTGCCCTGCTCAACCCTAGCTGCAGCAGCTTGGGCAGTTTTCCTGCTTCACTGCACTCACCCTCTGTCATACAGGCTGCCAGTGTCCACCTCCAGCTTGGGGACACCAAGTTGCATGTGAAGTTGGGCAGTGATTCCTTGAAAGTTTACTCTGAGCCAGCCCTGGGGCCACTTCTGCTCCAGGATCCTTTCTGGAAGCTGTCATCATGCACCACAGATGGCACAGCCAGGATGCACCTGCTGTCCTGTCAGGCAAGCTGAGCCACCAAGGCTGCTAACCCAGCTCCATCCCTTCAAAAACTGACCTCCGTCTTAGGCATCTATGTCCCAAATGTGAGTCTTTTGCCATCAAATGAGAAACAGCACATGTAGCTCACTGCAAATCGACTCCAGCTTGCGGGAAAGCAAGTGACAATCATGTCCCACTGACAAACAAAAAGTAACACACTTCTGTTTAGCCTTTTGAGTTTTCCTGAGGAATCAGAATTTGCTATTAATTATTGAAATGGTTATGTTGTATAAATTTTAAAGGCACTGTTGGCTTTTCCATTTTTTTTTTGCAAAGATGATAATAATGCATTCCTTGTTTACTGTTCTCTAGGTTCAATAGACGATGTTTTTAACTGCAATCTGTCACCCAGATCATCTCTGACGGAGCCTCTTTTGACAGTATTACCATTTCCAAGTGTTTTGGAATCTGAAGAGACACCCAACCAATTTATCTGATTGATCCAAACATTCCAACAGATACTCCTACACTCAGGCTTGCACCAGGCTGAGGCTGAGGGGACCAGAGGTGGGAGGCAGGTACTTCCACCACTGGTCAATCCCAACTCTACCATGGCTTCTACGGAGGGCTCCTTTCTCCCATTTCCACAGGCATGATGCCCCGGCAGGTCCAGTGGAACAGACTTCCCTAAAGGTTATGGTTCCCAAAATGGAAGGACTTTGGCCCCATGGCAAGGGGTGTGGGATCCTCTACTTTGAACACTTCTCCAAAGGGTCAGAAGGAATGTGGAATCCTGCCTCCCTGGACATTTTGCTTAGTATATCAGCACACTGGGGGTTTTCCTGGCAGCCTTTAAGGAATCATCTGACGAGTACTACCCTGCAATGCTTCATAAGTCAGTGTTTGAACTCTTGCTTGGGATATCCTTGTTTAAACCCAAACCCAGTAAGCAGGGGGGCGGGGGCGCTAACAGCCCTGTGTTTTGCAAACCTGGCTGAGCAAAAAGCCTCCGCAGTCTTTCATTGGGAGGCAGGTCTGTTTTCCATCCTGCTGATATGAAACATTATGAGGAACATTCAAATGAGGCTCACTAGAGGATTGGCCAGGCTGTTAGGACAGTGCCACCCACTGCCTGAAATCTGAACTCCCTTGGCCTCCCTCTTAAAGCAGCGCCTGTAGAATGAGGCCAGGTGATGTAGGACCAAACAATGACAGGAGAAGGATAATGTACACGGCAATGTCCTCCTTTCTGAGAGCACATTATGTCAGCTAGCTATTTTAAATAAGCTTTTAGCAATCCTAACACTAAAAGCAAAATAGAAGAAAGTAATGCCATTACCATAATACATTGTCACATCAATACATTTTCCATCTCATAGCTACAATGAAATTCTTCAAAAGGAAAAAAAATGATCTGATCTACATATAAAAAACTGCAGGAATGAATTGCTAGATAGGCTTATAATGAGGAAGGTTTATGGGTCCTGAGTCTAATTTTTCTATCCTTTTTTAAAAAATGTTTCTGTATTATACATTTTGATAACAGTGCTGATGGTCCTTATATTTGAAGTGTTCTCTACTACATTTGCACAATTAAAACTTTTCTTAGTATTCAACCTGGAATCGATTAAATTTGTCACCAAGGGTGTGTGTGATCTTTCCATTGTGGTTTTCAGGTGGTATATTTGCCTCATAACTTACTAAATTACAATAAGAACTGTGGTTTTTCTCAGCCACTTTCTCAAGAAAAGCCTTTTGAAGAACAGGGCTATGAAGTATTTAGACTAAGGACACAAAATTTGATAGGATCTTTTAGAAAAGAGAAGTGAAATGCTGCTTAATAACAGAAGAGGATAAACATTTGTTATTAAACTCAGTAAAAAATGAAGAGCGTTAACAATATAATGAGCTTTGTACCAGTGCAGACAAATCCTAGGTGGATATCAAATATTAAGTGCTTCTCAAAGGAAATAGAAACTCTATTCACAAAACTGACAATTTTTGAAGTTTATTTATTTCTCCTATAACTACAGTGACAGAGAGAAAAAGGGAGCAAGAAACAGAGACGCAGCACCCACAACAGGGTCTTCACACTGCAATTTACCCTTAGTCCCGCCAGCCCCGGGTCCTGGGCACACGTGTGCAGTGTGAACCTGGAACCCCTCCATGTGAGTTGGCTTCACAGAACCCTGCATTTTACGCAGTGTGAACCTGGAACCCCTCCATGTGAGTCGGCTTCTCAGAACTCTGCATTTTATTCCTGTGCCACTGCCCAGCTCCCAATTTTTTCTTTTAATTAGCTCGAGAAAAGACATCAGTAATCACTTCATTCTGACTTCCTTACACCTAAGGAATGGACTAAAAATCTAGGTTTCCTTCACCCTGAAAAACTTTTTCAGTTGACTTTGAACCAAATGCATTCTCTTATTCAATATTCGTTCAATAAAGTTTTGTCAGCTGTCTGTAAGGAAAAATCATACTGAGTATTTTATTTTAAATATCACAAAGCAGTGATATTAGACAATTTTTTTTTTTTTTTGGAGAGGGTTTTGCTACAGGGTGTTTGCCCTCGCCAGAAAGACAGAGACAGACAGAGAGACAGAAAGCAAGAAATCACTCCCCAGGGGGGATGGCCACGCCACAATCTCTTCTCTTCCATTCTCCTCTCAGAATCTTGAGCACGCACGCACACATACCTGGCGTGAACTTAAGCCACCAGGTCCAGGACTCGAACTGTGGTCGACTACATGGGAGTTCAGTGACGTAGCCATTATGCTAACTGCTGGTCCCAATATTAGACAATTTTTTAAATTGACTAAAAGTCAAATAATAGATCTTCCTGGGCAAAAGAGGCCTCAGTTTGGATGTAAATGTGGCCTGATACATTTTTCAGTTTAAGATAAATAGAAATCCAGAGGACAACAATGACTAAAGTAATTCACCTATTTATTAATTTAATACATATGTTCGAGTGAGTACCATATGCCATGCACTAAGATGGATGGTCATACATAAAGAAGCCTGACCCTTGGTTTCAAAGAGCTTCAATATTATTTTTAAAAAGTTAGGCTGGGGCCAGCTGGGGGCATGGTTGTTGAAGTACTGCATCCGACTTGGTCAACTCTGAGGCTGAAGTCCCAGACTCGATGATTTGGGAAACACACCGGGCACATGTGTGTGTGTATGTGCCCAAAATCCATACAGGAGAAGGGATTGTGGTGTGGCCACCCCTCTGGGGGGGCCAAGTTCTCACTTTCCCTCTCTCTCTACTTCTCTTGTCTCCCTTCTCCGTACTACAAAGATCTGACATCAACAACAAAAAAGACAGGCTTGTGTACAAGAAAATGGTAGGGCCAGAAAGTGGCCCAGTGATAAAAAGTGATGTTCTGGGAGGCTGAGTCACAGGGGAAAGTTCCAAGTTCATATCCAAAGACCTTCCTGAGTACCCCAGGCTCTACAGGGGAAAGTTCCAAGTTCATATCCAAAGATATGAGTACCCCAGGCTCTTGTGTGCCTATGATCTGGGCTGACTGAGACTGGAGTTGGATAGTAGTGTCAGGAGCTTGTTGGAGGTACTGTCTCTCTGTATCTCTCTTTATATATGTCTCTCATGCATAGAAATAAATAATTTTAAGAGGAAAATATCTAAGATGTTATGATCCAGTTTTACAAATAAAATGAATGAGACATGATTATAAAATTTGGCTTTAAAATAAATATATAAGGATTGATTTAGCCAAGTTATTGATTTATCTGAGCTCCCAGAGACCTTGGAGGCTACTAATTTATTCTAATAAAAATTAAAGTCCAGAAATGATCTACAGAATGAGGGAGTTTTTGTCTTATTGCCTTATGGCCATAGTTTGAATTTTGGCTAAAGGATAATATTGTTCCACTTGATCATCTACCTTCATTTTCCACTCAAATGTCTTCTTACAGTTTTAAATATCCAATCTATCCTCAAAGAGCAAAGTTATGCTCCTGTTGAAGAGAATCAAAAGAATGTGCGCTTTGGTTTCTGAAGGGAGTTTCTAAACAATTTCAAAAATGCTTTAAGCAATGCAGCATCATTAGAATAAATTATTACTTTGAAGAAGAGAACATTTATTTGGATGGATAAGTGCTGGTATAACATTTTAAATGAGTGTTCACACTTGATATTTACCTCTTGCATAAAGTGAAAGGAAAACTAACAATTGGTAATTACCCAGTAGCTGCCCTGGCCAGTTTACTCCTAAGATTCAGAGAAGAATCAGGGAGAGAAGGAATGGCCCAAGAGGGAGATCCCATTTAAAGTGGGTTGATGAAGTTTTGATAGAATCCATAGTCTGAATCTGCTGTTAAGGTTTTATTTGGATGAACTGTAAGTAAATTTGGTGAATAGCAAGTAAGAAGTAGAGCTTAGAATTTGCCCCATTAAATTCAACTGTCCTAATAAAATATAGAATCTTATAGGATTTTCCTTTCTGGAATTTTCAATATGAAGAGAGCAATCGTTCTTGGACTTCTTACCCACATCCTCTCTAAGTGACAGGTATGACTTATATGACCTCAGGAAGATGGGAATTTGTGATGGCAAATTTTAGGTGTCAACTTGGCTGAGGCATGGTGACCAAATATTTGGCCAGATATTATTCTGAATGTTTCTGTGAAGCGTCAGATTAACACATACATTGATAAACTTTGATTAAAACAGATTGTTCTCTCTCATGTGGGTAGACTTCATCTAATCAATCACAAATCTGAACAGAACAAAAGATTAGTCTTCCCAGCAAGAACAAATTTTGCCAACAGAAGAACTTCAGACTTTATTTGCAACATCAGTTCTTCCCTGGGTCTCCAGCCTGCAGGCCTATCCTACAGATTTGGGGCTTGCTGGCCTCCACAACTCTGTGAAGCAATTCCTTGAAATCTGTTATCTATCTATTTATATCTATCTATCTATCTATCTATCTATCATCTATCTCTATCTCTATTGATCTATCAACTATCTATCTATATCTGTATCTATCTATCTATCTGTTTATCCTCACATCCTATTGGTTCTGTTTCTCTGGAGAATCTTTACTAATACAGAGTCCATCACAGAAATTGAGAAAATGTTTTACAAGTTCATTAATTGGCTAAACAAACTAAAAAAAGGAGACGAAGTATTCTTCTATTTCATTAATTGGCTAAACAAACTAAAAAAAGGAAACGAAGTACTCTTCTATTTTTTTTTTTTTACATGAGGAGGCTTGAATAAAAGCATCATATACACAGAGTAATAGAAAGTCTTTTACCCCAACAGAGAAACCAAAGTTGTGGTTCCCTATCTTTTATCCAGAGTAGGCGGACAACACTGTAGATGGATTTTGACCTCTTCTGGCCTTTGGAAGCAGCTACCTGCTTCTTTTCACTTCCTTCCCTGACCTGCTTTTCAAATTCTCCCACCAACACTTTCCTCTTTTTCCTCTCATTCAGGAGATAGCCTTGCCTCTTACATTACTGGGAGAAGTGCTTCTCAAATTTGTGCCCAGAAATCTCTGGAGCTCTTGTAGAGTGTAGGTCCTGATTCAGAAAATCTAGGGCTGCGCGGCGCCAAGTGGCGCCCCGGCGGCGCCTGC